ATTCTAAGTGAAACTGTTTTTCATTTTCCAAGAACTTAATGCTGATGTATAGAAATAAAATTGTCTTTTATGTTGACTTTATATCCTGCTACCTGCTAAATTCGACTATTAATTTTAGATGAATATTTCTTAGGATTTTCTATGTAAACAGTCATGCTATCTGCAAACAGAAAAAAATTACATCTTGCTTTCCAATATTTATATATTTTGTGTTTCTTTTTCTTTTTTGCCTTATTTCACTAGCTGGACCTCCAATAAAATGTTGAGTATAAGGACTAAGAGCATACATTCTTGACTTTTTTCTGATCTTAAGGGGAAAGCATTCAATGTTCTACTTTTAAGAATGACATTAGCTTTGAGTTTTTTAGTAGGTAACTTCTATCAGTTTGAGGAAGTTTCCTTCTATTCCTAGTTTGCTCAGAGATTTTAATCATGAATGAGAGTGAATTTTGTAAAATGCTTTTTTCTGCATCTATTGAGATATAATAATATGGATTTTTTTCCTTTTATTGTGTTGATGTGGTGGATTGCATTGATTGATTTCATAATGATAAATCAACCTTACATTTATGAGACAAATCCTACTTGGTCATGATCTATTTTCTTTTTTATGTATTGCTGGATTCAATTTGCCAGTATTTTCTTCTGAATTTTTGCAACTACATTCATAAGATCGATTGGTCATTAATTCTTTTTTAACAGTCCTTGTCAGATTTTGGTATTCTCATAATGCTGATCTCATAAAACAAGTAAGAAATGTTTTCTCATCCACTTTCTGGGAGAGCTTGTGTAATATTTGTATTATGTCTTATTTAAATATTTGAAAGAATTTGCTGAACCTGGAGCCTTCTGGGCCTTTAGTTTTCATTAATAAATATTAAACTATTCAGATTGTCCATTTCTTTTTGTGCTGATTTTTGTAACTTGTTCTTATTGTTTTTTCAGACATGCTGTTCATTTCATCAAAGTTTTAAAATTCATTGGGAAAAATTGTTTACACTATATCTTTATTATCATTTGCTGTCTGTAATATATCCAGTGATGTCTTCTCTTGATGTTGGTAACTTAAGTTTTCACTCTTTCTGTTTTTCATTATCAGTCTTATTAAGACTTTATCATTTTTATTAATCTTCTCCAAAAACCAACTTTTGACTTTCTTGAGGTTCACTCTGTTTTGAATGTTTTCTCTTTCATTGATCTACATTCCGATCTTTATTTTTCTCTTCCTAGTTAATTTGGATTTAATAGCTATTATTTTTCTAGTTTCTTCATATAAAAGCTTAGATCATTGATTTTAAACTTTTTATTTTTTAAAATATAACATTTAAAATGGTAACTTTCTTCCTAAGCACTGCTTTAACTGTATCCTACAATTTTCAATATGTTGTTACTTCGTTATCATCCAGTTAAAGCTATCTTCTAAATTTCTTTTGATTTCTTCTTTGACCCATTGGTTTAGAAATGAATTGAGTAATATCCAAAAATTCTAGATTTTTCTAAATAATTAAAAAAATCGGTTCCTAATTTAATTACTTTGAAGTCAGAGAATATACTATATGTGATTTCAATATTTTGGAATTTATTGACAATTTTTGTGGCTCAGATTCTGTTCTGTCTTGATAAAATTCCATGTGCACTGGGACAGAGTGTGTATCCTGTAGCACAGTGTGGGGTGTTCTATAAACATGAGGTAGCTCCAGTTAGTTGATAGTGTTGGTGCTGTTCAAATACTCTGTATCTGCAGTCATTTTTTCATCTGGTTGTTCTGCCAGTCAAGATGGGAGGGTTAAAACCTTCCACTGTTATTGTGAAATTGTCTAATTCTCCTTTTTCTTATGTCGTTTTTCTTTTTTTACTTCATGTATTTTGAAGCTGTTTCGTTACTTTCATATGCATTTGGGAGCTTTATGTCTTCTTGATGAATTGACTCTTTCATTATAAGTAAATGCCCCTCTTTATCTCTATTACCCCTTGTCTTCGAGACTACTTTATTTTATACTAATGTGGTCACATTTACTTTCTTATGCTTAGTGTTTGTGTAGTGTATTTTCCCCACCCTTTCACTTTCAACTTACCTATCTCTTTATACTTTAAATGGCTCTCTTAAAACAGTAAACCATCAATTTCTTTTCATTTTTTTTAAAAAAAAATCCAGTCTGAAAATTTGTCTTAATTAGTGTGTTTATCCCATTTACGTTTAATGTAATGCTTGATATGGTTGGATATAGGGCTACTGTCCTTTGGTTTATTTTCTATTTGTCCCATCTGTTGTTTGTCTTTCCCTTCTTGACTTTTTTGGTGGGGGTTATTATTATTATTATTATTTAATGTTTCTCTTTTCCTTTCAGCTAAAATACCTAGTGCCTTTGTTTTAGAGTGATTCTGTTGGCAATGAATTCTCCCAGCTTTTGTTTCTAAATATGTCTTTATTTTGCCTTTATTTTTGAAGAGTATCTTTGCTTTATATAAAAATCTACATTGATGAATATTTTTCTTTGACTATCTTAAAGATGCCATTCCATTGTTTTCTGGCCTCCTTTGTTTTTCATGATTAGTATGCTGTACTTATTATCTCCCTCCCTCACGCCTTCAACACACATTAAAAATATGTCTTTTTTCTTTGGATGTTTTTGAGATTTTTCTCCCTTGTTTTTCGTTTTCAGCAGTTTTACTGTCATCTTCCTATTGTGGCTTTGTTTGTATTTATCTTGCTTGAGGTTTACTGAGTTAAGATCTGTAGGTTATTATTTTTCATGCTATTTGGAAAAAATTTAGTCTTCATTTATCCAAATAACATTTATACCCTATTCTGTCTTGTTTTTTTTCAGACTCAGCTACATATATTTTAGATTCCTGGGTATTGTCCTATGGGACATCTTTTCAATCTTTTCCTCTTTTTTGCTTCAGTTTGCAATAAAAGTGCATTGCAAATGCAAATAATTTGCTCTGATATGTTTTTAAATTGTCTTTTCTTTTTTATTGTCCAATGTGCTATTAAACATATCCAAGTAATTTTTTATTTCAGAGATTTTATTGTTTATTTGTTTGTTCCCATATCAACCTCTCTTTCTGTTGCTTATTTTTCCCCTTGATTATTGTCACAGTTTTCTGTTTCTTTGCGTGCTTAATAATTTTTAATTGTATACTAGACATTATGTTGATGCATTGTAGAGATTTTGGATTTCATTATATTCCTCTGAAGAGGGCTGTATTTTATTTTAGCAGGTAAATTTCTGGTAGGTCATCTTGATTATGATTTTAGCTTTTTTTTTTTTAGTGTGAGTCTTTCTACATTTTATATCTTAGCCCCAGGTCACAGACCTTTATCTTGAGACTTGTTTCTTACTCCTAAAGCATGGCCTTCTATGGCTTAAATGGAAAGCTGGAGGTATTTGCCAAGCTTCTCTAACTTGATAGGACTTGAACCCTAAAATTTGTCTTCTGGCTTTGAGGAACTGGTGAAATTTCTGCCTACCTCTTTAGTCTTCCAGTCATTGCTGGCCTAGAGGGGTTCTTTGTAGTCTCATCCTGTGCATGCACAGTTTAGGTCACAGAGAAGGATTTGAGGAGGATTTATATACAGGTTTATGGCTCCATATGTTAGATGATCTCCCCCTTCAAGCTGCTTTGGTAGTCCCAAATCATGATCTTTGACTCTTTAGCCCTGTACAAATTTTCTGCTTGAGCACTATCACTGTACAAACTGGAAGTGCTCTCAGGGGAATGGGCAGATAATGAATATCTCACCTAATGTATCTCCCTTTTTTACAGTTTCTGTCTATTTTTGGTTGTTTTTTAAGTGCTTTGAAAGAGACTTTTTTCCTGTATTTTGTCCTATGCTTCTTGATTTAGCATCTATTCTGCTAAATTGTAATTGATTGTTATGTATTTGTTTTTCTTAATAAGTGAGTTTTTTTGAGAGTAAAAGGTCTTTATTCTATCTCATTGTCTGACTCAGAGTAGTGCCTTTTAGTTAGCAGCTCCTTAGTAAATGTTGAATTGCCTTGTTATTTTTATGAAGACCACTGTGAGTGGAATTTAAATTTAAAGACTTCTACTCATAAATTAATTTTCTCCTTAGCACACTACTCTAAATATGAATTCAAGGGAGGTTGTTTTAGGTAGATATTTTGAAGTAAATATTCCTTTAAAAAATTTTACTCTTGTTAAATATTTATTTTAAAAATAATTTTTCATTTTTAAATTTTAATATTCTAATTTTAATTCATTAAAAGTTAACACATTTATCATGTGAGCTACAAAATTGCTAGTTACTACCTAAAACTACTGGATTTCCAATCAAGGTTGATACCAAAAGATATTATTTTTATATTAATTTTTATACTTAAAGAAAAACCACTTCTCCATACAAAATAGATCAGAGATGTTTCTTTTATTTAGAATAATGATAGTTTCCAAATTCAATGTAGTATGTGGTTGAAATAATTATCTTTGAATAATTTTATTTTGAAAAGGGACTCTTCAATGTTATTTTAAATTAGACTTCTCAAGATCAATCTAATGGACAAAGAATTTGTCCCATCATGTCAAAATTACTTTAATAGAATTTTTGGAGGAGTCTCCCAATTTGCCTCTGTTAACAAGTTCAGTATTCTCAATTTGTGGAGAAGTAACTGTAGCCCTAATCTTAATAAACTAATCTGTTTTTAGGTGTAATTATTATAATCATTAGCACTTATTTAATATTAACCATATTTTGTTTTCATAACTTAGAGTATATTTGAATGCAAAGAGGTATTATAAACCAACTTCTTTTCAATGGGGTTTTAAGTTTGTATGCAAATCTTGTACTTATTGCAGATCTCATTTGATGATCATGCTAAGCTGATTATGTCAATTTCAAGAATAGAATTTATGATTGTACCATAACACACCATAATTGCATTTGTCTATCTTTATGAATTTGTCTTTTTGATTACTTGAAAGAAATACATTGTTAAATGAAGCTAAAAAACTTCCTTTTCTTCTTTCTTCTTTAGAATCGAGTTTCTTACTGGGAAATGCCCAGATTGTGGATTGGCCTGTAGTTTATAGTAATGACGGTTTTTGCAAACTCTCTGGGTATCATCGAGCTGACGTCATGCAGAAAAGCAGCACTTGCAGGTAGGTGGTAGAACAGCTCAGGAATCTTTTCTGAAGCAAACATGACTATATAATGAAGCCTCCATAAAAACTCAAAAGGACTGGTTCAGAGAGCTTCTGGGTTCATGAACATGTGGAGGTGCTGGGAGAGTGGCGTGCCCAGGGAGGGCAGGAAGCTCTGTACCATGTCCCCATACCTTGCCCTATGCATCTCTTCCATCTGGCTGTTTCTGTTATATCCTTTTTAATAAACCAGTACTTTAGTAAGTAAAATGTTTCTCAGAGTTCTGTGAGCCACTCTAGCAAACTAGTGGAACCCAATGAGGAGGTCGTGGAAACCTCTGATTTATAGCCAGTTCATCAGAAGTACGAGTTACAACCTGGACTTGCAGTTGGTACGTGAAGTGGAGGGCAGTCTTGTGGGACTGAGCACTTTACCTGTAGAATCTGATGCTATCTCCGGGTGGTTAGTGTCAGAATTGAGGTGAATCATAGGACTCCCAGCTGGTGTCCTGAGAATTGCTTGTTGTTGGTGTGAGGAACACCCCATCCCCACCCCTCCACCACACACACACACAGACACACACACTGGAATTGGTACCAGAATCTCTTTACTCACATATAAAAATTGTAGGGTAAAAATTATATTAGAATATGAAGGAGACTAAATTGTCAATGGGAATATATAGTTTAAGAGCCATTGGTGAGAACTTTTGCAAAGAGAAAGATTTTTGTGTATCTGTGAATTTATTAATTCATTCAATAAATATTTTTAGATCACCTACCATGAACCAGGAGCTAGTCCAGGTGGAAGTGATCAAAGGAGCATCCTATATCAGGGAACCACTGATGGCATAGCATTTCTTGAGCTGCTAAAACTGTCTTGAACAAAGTAGAGTGAACAACCCCAACCAAGTAGGACATGGTTCATGAACATTTAAGGAATGTCAAAATAAAGCTCTTACATCCTGTGTAAATCCCACGTACTTTGTAATGTTGGTACATTGTACCATTGCTATTTTGTTTGACTTATGTAAAACAGAATCTGGCATTTATATTATTTATAACAATTCTTTAAAAAATATGCCATATCTGTGAGCTTAAAGAGAGTATTACGAAAAAAGATCATAAAAAAGAAAAAGAAACCATATAAGGAACCAATTTAGAATTGAAAACTTTTTCACAATATTTCAGTAAAGCCAGATGGGTTGTTTTTTCCTTGAGTTAATTTTTCTTTAAAGCTTTCACTTAACTAAGCACCAAAATCATGTTATTTTAGAACTACAAGGGATCTGACTTATTTCCTACCCCAAATCCTTTGTTTTTCAGAGGAGGAAACTGAGGTAGAGTTATGTTAAGAGACTTGCCCAGGGAAGCAGTGATTTGTTGATCTTTTTTCTCCCTATTATGCTGAGAAAGACCACATGCAGATACAAACATAAATGTTCTGCATCTTCACGAAGGACAGGGTTTTCATATTGTACCAGTGGGTCTAAACCTGACTCCAGGTAGGAATCACTGAGAGGGATTTTGCAAAATGAAGATTCCCAGACCTCCCCTCAAACCTATTGAACAGAATCACCCAAGGTGGAAAGGTGGGGTCAGGAATCAGTACTTTTGATCGTCAGCTCAGATGGTTCTGATGCTTAACCAGGTTTGAGAAATAATCTGTTCAAACATCCTCTTCCTTCACTTACCCTCTCCCAGTGCTCCCCATTTTTCTCTCTACTAAAGTCATCCCCACATTCAGTCTTCATTTCCAGGTCTGAAACTGGTAAACAGGAGTGATGAATAAATGTGGCCCTTCTTTGAGAATCTCCCTTTGGTAGTAACACTGACATCTTTTGTGCCTTTTTATCTGTTGGGTGGATGTTAGCTCTCAGGCAGCATGTCACAAAGGTGTGTATGCTGAGTTCTGGGAGGCTAAGGTTTGTAGTGAGTGTCTCTGCTCCCTAATATCTCAGCGGGGTTTAGATCAGGCAGAAGTTACTTCTATGGTAGACCTTACCTGTGGAACAGACTGTATAGAGAGTTCCAGGGAGTGCAGATGCTCCCACACCTATTTCCTCTACTTGGATTACAGACATCCCATAACCATCCACACCTATTTCAGAGTCTGGCCTTAAACTACCTTTCCTTCTCTCTTGGGTTTTCATTGCTATTGCTTTTGTTGCCATTTCTGAGAAGTATTGCTCTTCATATCTGGATATATTGTAAAGTCTTCTGACATCTCTTCTTGCTTCCCTTGCATCTGCTCCCATCCCCAGCCTGTTTTCTTCGGCTTGTGCGATTTTTCCTACAAAAGCATACGTTAAAAAAATGCTGGCATGTTTTATTAGTGTATTATTAAAAGAATTGCTTTTCCCTCCCACCACAGTGCCAGACTATAAATGCCTTGAAGGTAGGAATTCCATCTTATTCATTTTTGTATGCTCTCCAGGACATGGCTCAGCATTTTGTGTCAGAACTGTTGAATTAGATTGGCTTGTTTTGCAATAAGCCCTAACCTGGGTCTCACGTGCTTCTGTACAACATGCTCTTATTTATTGTATTTCATCCCAAGTGTGATAGTATTTGAGGTGGGTAAGAGAGCAGAAAACTTTGGGTCATGTTATGCTTTTCACTGTGGAAAGAGGTATGCAAGTTCCTCCCCAACTCTTCTTCACTGTTGTTAGGAATTATATTTTCAAAATGATAATATTCTTAACATAACCAATTATTACTTGATTGCACAAAATTCCTGGTGTGTTTTGCTAATTTAAAAACTGCAACCAGTATAATGCCCTCACAGAGCAGTGAAGACCAGAATCTGATATATAAGCAAATGATTTTTGAGCCCTATCAGCTTTTCTTAGAGGCACAGTTTATTCTAATGCACTCCCCTTTTAAACTTCCTCATCTCTTTCTAAAATTAAACTATACCCATTTTATGTTTACTGCAGTATTTTTTGGAAGAATGAAGACCTGGAAATGATAAAAATGTCCAGTAGTAGATTTGTTAAAAAGTATTGCAAAGCCCTACCTCTTTAAATCATGTGTTCGGAAGATAATGACACCAGAAGAAGCTAACAACATATTATTAAGTAAAAAAAAAAAAAAAATCAACCAACAAACCAACCAACAAATAAAAAAACCAGTTTGCAAACAGTATCTGCATCATGATTCTCGTTTTTTTACATATAATTTTTTTCCATTTCCTGTATAAATCTATAAAAGTGTTTGAATATGAGACACAAGGAAACAGAGGGAGGAAAGGAGAAAATTATATACACATTTAGAAATACAGTGTTAATAGCTAAAAGTTATTATAGAATTTTGGAATTGCTGAATTCTAACTGAATTTATCTCTATGGAGATAAATCATTTGACACTGAGGATGTCATATGTAAATAATTCAAAGAATTTCACTGATTTAATAATGACAAGTCTTAGACAAACATAAAATAAAAAACTACAAATCAGTGAGTGTCAGTTTGTGGTGGGAAAAAATTACGCTTTATATGCTGAAAAAAGAATCATTTTTCTATACAACTTGCATTAGATGGATTAAAGTAGTAACTGGGTAAAGATTATATGTTCTATTTTTTAAATATCCAAATATGAATTGTTTTATGAAAACTTAAAAAAATAACAATTTATGATTTTATAATATCAAGAGGCTAAGATTTATTTCTTCTGTTTTCTTATCTTTTTCCTCTTCTGTCCTTCCCAACCCTTCCCCCATTAGACCAGGTGCACAGAATGGAATTAAACGAACTCCTCCATTTGTCCCAGTATTAGCACTGTGATCTCTCTGGGCAAGGTTTCTATTTAATTTTCTTTCTTTTCCCCTGCATCCCATCTCTCTTCCCCTTCCATAGTTATTCATTATAGTGTTTATTGTAGGTCTTTATAATCCATCTTCTGTTTATTAAATATGTGTATTCTTGAAATGATGTTGCTTTGTTATGTTTGTTTTTAAGACCCACACAATTCACACCATAAAGTAGGATTTGTGGTTTCTTACTGTTTTCATTAAACATTATATTTTTGAGATTTTTTTATATTGCTATATAATAATCTATTTTATTATGGCTGACCAATGTGTGGTGCTCCAGTGTCTTCACAGCTTTCATAGTATTTATCCATTTTATTAGTCAGGAGCTCCAACTTCTGACACTTTGCTACCTCAAACAACTTGGAGATAAACATCCTCATACACATCTTCTTGTGGCCCCCTGTGAGAAGTTGCCTGTCCCTATGCCCAGAAATAGGATTGCTGGATAGTAGAATATATGCGGAATTTGTAAATTAACTGCTGTCAGATTGCTATCCAGAGTGGCTTTCTGTTTCCACTCTCACCAGCCATGAGTGAGGGTTCCAGTTTTCCTACATCCTTGTACTACATGATAGTATCTAAATTTCTGTTTAAAACAATCTGATGTGTGCAACCTATTGTCTCATTTTTGTTTTAGCTGAAATTTCAAAAAATATTCTTATGACATTTCAGGATTCCTAGAGGTGTCAAATCTAGTGCATTTTATTGTCTAATAGAGGCATTTCCAAGCCTTTGGATTGCTTTGCTGTTTATCAAAGGACACCAAAGTATTGCATGTTTAAAGGAGACTGTAGGCTTTGGGGAATGGCATTGAAAAGTGTGTGATCTTATCTCATGACCCCTAGGAAGCCCTGACATTCAAGACCCACTATCACAGGTTAGGTAGAAAGCACTTTAGCATTTTACCTTTCATTAAGCTAAAACTTTTAAAAGCCCATTCTGCTTTTTTTTTTAGGATAGAGAGGTGATAAGAGCAATAATGTAGATGGGGAGGATTGGAGCAGTTGGATGCTTTCAAAATTATTTTTTTCGAGAACACCCATTAATAATCTTTTACCTAAGCCATCAAGTTACACAATGAAGCAGAGATATTAAGAGACACTTTATTGGATGTATTTTACAAGCAGTTTTATTGACACAGGATTATCTCAGCCAAAAAGAGCACATTTCACATGATGGCTGTCCCTCAGTCTGGTCCCATTTG